CGAAATTAACGGATCAAATGCCGGTTGTGATCAAATATTATACATAATAATATTAATAATAATAATATAATATAATATAATATTAATAATAATAATATTATACAATACAATATTAATAATATTAATATTATATTATATAATATTAATAATAATAATATTATATAATACAATGTTAATAATAATAATATTATATAATATAATATTATATACTCGATACCAGCTTCGCGGAATTATTTGATAAATATTTTGATTTCGATGGAAATCTGCAAAATGCCCAAATTTTGTGGTGAAATAATTACAGAATACAATATTGATAGATTTTAAATAATTCTGAAAAAGTGCTTTAGCAAATTCCAGTAGTTTTACGGGCTCTGTCATCATTTGATTCCGCCAAAAGCAAATAATATAATAAAATAAATCATCGTAACGATAACAACAACGATAATTCGGAAAGACTAAAAAAAAATCAAATCGTTGCCACTTGCGCCATAATTTGGAATTAACCAGCAATTTCCGAATATTTTCGAAAGCCACTGAAACGTTGCTACCGCAGAGAGTAATAATTTAAACAAAAAGATCGCCCCCATAAATTTCAAACTCTTCCATAATCTACAATCAGAAGTGAAAAATATCGTCAAATAGAATAAATGTACGTCCGAATCGATAGTCGTATCTTCAAAAATATAGAATACTCTGTTCTAAACTACCTATTTTATCATTCTCACTGAATTAGGCAAAACAATGTTGGCAAAACATCAGTGACAAAACGATTATTTATTTAATTATATATACTATATAATTAAATATCTATATACTATATATAATAATAATATACTATATATATAATAATAATAATAATAATAATAATAATACTATATATATAATTAAAATCTATATACTATATACTATATATTTACAGAAAACCCAAGAACAGAAGACGTAAAATTACGTCGATAAAAACAAAGTAAATTACAGATGCTACGCAAAAATCAGAACGCTGTGCTGGTTCCCATTTCGAAAAGGTCGAACAATTTGAAGAAAAAAAAGTGCGATTTTCCGCGTCTTCTGCAGAACTGTCCCTCTCCTCGTAACAGCAAGAATACCCGACTCTTTATAAAAATCCGAGACCCAATAACCAAAAACGAGAAGGAGAAATCGGCGATAGGCGAATCATGAAACACTCGTTCCATCGGCTACAGGACTTCTTTCGGTAGCGATCAACGTCGCAGGAACATCGCGTCGAGCTCTCTCGGTAAACGAGATTCGCTGAAAATCCCTCGCCGATAATGCAATCGCGGGGAAGCCAATATTGGCGGGAAAAAGGAGCGCGGGGGTGGCCGAGGATAGGAACACGCGGACGGATTAAGGTCGAACAAGACAAAAGGACGAGCTAGTTGCCGACCTGGCTGGTTTAGTTCCAATGTGCTGCGGAGGGTTGCGTTTAAAGACGTTCGAGTCCGCCGACGTCGTCAACGGGAACAAAATTTATTCTCGGCGCAGTACAGTAAATTCTCTCTAATTGACGCTCGGAATGTCGAACACAAAAAAAAAGATGGACAATATGGGGAGAGGAGATACGATTATTCGAGCATTGCGGCTCTTTTTTATGGTTATCTATTATCAACAACTATAAAAACAAATAATCGTATCACCTCTTCCCAAATTGCCCATTTTTGTGCCACGAGCATCTTAATATCATCGTATTCACAAATAATAAATACATTTTATTAATTATTCTGTTACTTGTTTACAGCTTTAGAAACCAAATGCAGTAAATTCTCTCTAATTGACGCTCGGATTGTCGAACACAAAAAAAAAGATGGACAATATGGGAAGAGGAGATACGATTATTCGAGCATTGCGGCTCTTTTTTATGGTTATCTATTATCAACAACTATAAAAACGAATAATCGTATCTCCTCTTCCCAAATTGCCCATTTTTGTGTCACGAGCATCTTAATATCATCGTATTCACAAATAATAAATACATTTTATTAATTATTCTATTACTTGTTTACAGCTTTAGAAACCAAATGCAGCAAATTCTCTGTAATTGACGCTCGGATTGTCGAACACAAGAAAATGGACAATTTGGGAAGAGGAGATACGATTATTCGAGCCTTGTGACTCGTTTTCTTATAGTTACCGATTGTCAACACACACACACACACACAATTATAATATATAATATAATAATCTCTTCTCGAATTGTCCATTTTTCTGCACAATCTGAGCGTCAATTACGGAGAATTTACTGCAGATAGGCCTGATATTGTAAAACAAAATCGAACGCATTAACATACTTCAGATTTAATGTGTTTATGAAAAGAATCTAATAATGATTTATCGGTCATGGTTTATACGATTTTCATATAATAATCTGATGATTGATATACGCATTCTAAAAGCAGCGAGCATGTGCGTTGCCATTTTCAGGAAACCTGACTAAGTCTATCTAGCTTTTATTTTTGGCGAGGAAGAACGATACACGTCGGATCGATTTCCAATTAAATGAGAGATACCCGACACTTCATATTCTCGAATAATCATATCTCCTCCTCCCAAATTTCCCAAATTGTACATTTTTGCTTACAATCTGAGCGGTAATTCGGGAGAATTTACTATAATGTGATAAATAAACATAATTAACCTGGTTAGGTCGCACCCTCTTTAGAGTCACAAAACCCTACGTTTCATAAAGTACTTTGATGTCGAAAGTTCCGATCATTTAAAACGATGACAGCTCGTAACGTGTTGTGAAAAATATTGCATGTAGCCAGATATATTTTGTTTCCTCAAAAGTATCAACATTTTTGATAACATCGTTGTCTATGCATTGAAAATAGAGTATATTTTTAGCGGACGAGGAGAAGAACGTAAGACGAATTTTGGACAAAATGATATAAGTCATTGCTTTCAGAAGAAGAAGAAAGGTATTTATAAATTGAATACAATGTATATTTTATCAGACTAATGGAAGTATTTAATTGATTATGAATCTTCAACCTATAATCCAATATTTGATCTTACATTGAACTTTAAATGTGCATTTCTGCATAATTAACAGTTGCTTGATTGATTCTGTTGCTCGTTCTCTAGAGCAGCAGTTGTGTATCATAATTGTTTAGAATTTGTTATAATTTTATTATGAGTAAATATATTTGATACTAATTTTTATAAGTAAATATATTTTTTCACTGGAAATCTAGCTCAAACGCATCAATCAAAATCTAGGTCTTGTGAACAGTCTGAAACGTCAATAATGCCAGACTGGATAAAGCATAAATTTATCATATCGACCTCTGATGTATTAACGTGACCAAATCGTACAAAAGTGGATAAAACGTGCAGACTGCAAAAAGTACGCATACGACAGAAATGTATAAAGATCAGTCTAGTAACATCATTAACACGTTAACTCCTACATCGATATCCACGAAAGGCGCACAAAATCAGTTGTAATGTTAAACATCAAATCCAGCCAACATGATAAATAACTAATATTGAATCGTCGCCCATGAAACGACGGGTCTTCAATTCAATATTTATCTAAAAATCCAGCATTTCATGTATGACCAACAATATATGAGCCGTTTATTTGGAAAGTGGCATAAGTCACTTCGTTTTTAAGTTGATATATTTAAGGGTTCGCGTTTTTTAACACGTTTAAAAATATGGATGCTAACTTTCGAGAAGATTTACTTATATTTGTTATCTCGGGATACTGATATCTTTCTCAGTATAAATAATTTCGTATAAACATTAAAAAATCACCGCTTTTCATTACGGTAAAGTGACTTATTCCACTTTCAAAATAAACGGCTCAATTGAGAAGCATTTATAAAAAGAAATATATTTACATGAAATCTTCGATAGCGCGTACGACTGGAATTAATTAAATTTTCGAAGATTCGATGGTTATATTGTAAAAGTTGTCTCAAACTAACACACCTGCTCATTTAATTGAAAACTACATTTTGATATAAAGTAACGATAAGCAACGATGTTTACTTTTAGAATTTCGTTGAGAAAGCTCAAAAATTAAGTCGAACAATTGTCACTAGGACTTCGTTGTACGAACCTTAACATGTCCAAAATAAACATTTTGTCTTTAGAAAATCGTTTGACTAGCATAACTTGCCGAAATAAACGGCTCATATATTGCTCCACAAGGATATCAGGACTGAATTAATCTACATGTTTCGCAATCTCTACTACAATGTCCGTTCGAACGAAGAAATTTATTCCACGATTTTCCACGAAATTAATTCGCGTTAACAACAAAAGACCGAGGAAAAGGCAAAATATATATTACAAGCAACTGCTTTTGTAGTCCTCTTACACCCCATAGTTCCCAACAAAGTTTGCCTTCCTCTGATCGTAATAAAAATGAACTTGCAAGTTTGATAAAAAAAAAAGAAAAGAAAAGAAAAAGAAAGAAAACGACAAAGACGTGGCACACAAAGTGAGCAGCAGTTCTTTGAACCAAAACCTTTTCTCAGCCAAGTTTCGTCCCAGTTTTCGGGTCGATTGACAACCGCGCGATCATTACCGGAGCGCCCGATTTCAGCGCAGGTGGATCGCCGACCGGTGACAAGGTGCGTGCGGGCTGACTGCTCCTCCGGTTGTGCCTCGGCCACCCTGTTCGCGCCGCCCTCCCACCTCGCCCTCGAACCCCTGAGCCCCCACAATCCCCCCCTC